GAATATCCTTTAATTTGTGATTGTCCAATATTTTTTTCTCATGATTAGGCTGGGGCTATGGGTTTTGGGGAGGAAGATCTCAGAAATAAAGTGCTATTTTCATCATAGCATATCAAGGGTGCTTGCTACTAATAACTTATTAGTAATGATGTTAACTTTGACCACCTGGTTGAGGTAGTGTTTGTCAGGTTTTTCCACCATAAGGTTTTTCTTTTTCCCCCCTTTCCATACTGTACTCTTTGAAGGAAAGTTACTATGCTCAGCTCACACTTAAGGAGAATTATGTTCCATCTTCTTGAGGGCAGTGTACCTACATAACTTTTTCTTTTTAATTCTTCAGTATAAGAATTATTCTCCATTTACTTGTTATTCAATCATTTTTTTTTTATCAGTATAGGCTCAAGAATTTTATTTTTAATTCAGATTATATTCAACACTGAATTATTTATTTCAGTTTTCAAATGATCCCAGCCTTAGCCATTCATTGGGAGTTCTTTTTGTTGGCTCCTGTGTCATTATGATATACAACCGCTGTTTTGTTTTGTTTTTTTAAAAGCACGTCTTCACTTTCTGGTACTACAGGATGCTCGAGACTTATCTTGTATATATCTTGCCCCAGTCCTAGAATCAGCCATTTCTCCAGGAGAACTGATTACTTTTATTGTTGAATGGTATTAGAAACTAAGAACTGGGTGCTAGGTATGCTCATTGCTCCTGGTTGTCATTGCTTCCAGGCCCTTCAGAGGACAAAACCTGGAAACATACATGTATACTAGCCTATGAATAAACATATATTATAAGTATTTCTGTATTTGTCCATCTGTATCTGTATTAGGCTAAACATGAATTCATACTGATGCCTCCAAACTAACCCAGGATTTAATGATCACATGCATAATCCTCTCACTTTACAGAAAATTTACAACTAGAAAAATAAAGATACTTCTCCAAGTCAAACAATTTACAGTTCGCAGTCTACTTGTACTACATCAATACTCACGTGGTGATGACAAATACATACTAAGTGCTCCATCAATGCATACTAATTAAGATACTAATTCTTCCAATAATGTACGCCTATAATTTTGGAGGACATTTTCATGACTGTTTAGTCATAAGTGTCACTACAGGTCATACCTATTTGGAGTTGTAATGATTTCCTTAGAGATTTCAAGAGCGTGAGCTCCTTTGGAGCAGGACAGCTTAACAGGTCCAACAAGTGTTAGACCCTCAGTCAAGCTTTGCTGAACTAAATGAACTACGCATATCAAGAAATGCTGACTAAATATTCAACCTGCATCTCATTTATAAAATGGGATATGATTGATCATCTGTTCTTCCTACCCCCAGAGGGCGGTACTAAGGATCATGTGATATAATTTGTATGCAAAGCCTTCAGAATCTGAAAGGCAGAATTATGACACTATTTGGGGAAAATTCTGTACCTTTGAATTTGGGCTCTCTTCTTTTGAGTGGGCAGTATGCATGACCTTCACTACTTCTCAGCCTATATAAAAACTATTGAAAAATTAAAAATAAAATCATTGGTATTTGCTTTTTAAGATAATTAGTTCACTCAATGGTTGAGCTTCTTTTGTATATAAATTTGTATCTTTTTTCTTGTTAAAGCTGATTTTGTTAATAGTATTCAATTTTTTCTTTAATTTTGGTATAATATTCATACAGTAATATGAATTATCACCCTTTTTAGTGCACAGTTCAGTGAGTTTTGATAATACCACTACAATCAAGATACAGAACTGTTCTATATCTTTTCCCCCAAGTTTCTTCATACCCCTTTTTAGAAAACCACTCCCCTCACTCCCTACTCCTGGCAAGCACTAACCTGTTTTCTGACCCTATAGTTTTGATTTTACCAGAATGTCATATAAATGGAGCCTGGCTGTTTTCACTTCCCATAATGCTTTTGAGATTCCTCCATATTACTGTGTATCATATTCCTTTTTATGGCTGAGTAGTATTCCATTCGTGACTATATTACATTTTGATTACTCATTCACCAGCTTTAGGACATTTATGTTTCTTCCCATTTGGGGGTGAATATTAATAAAGCCACCTATACTTTATACAAACAAACATTTCCATACAGATTTTTGTTTGAATCTGTTTTTATTTCACTTGTATAAATATCTGTGAGTGGAATTACTAGGTTGCATGGTAGGCATATGTTTAACTTTATAAAAAAGATTAAGATTGCTTTTTGAAACAAACCACCAAGATCAGATTTAATATCCATCTTTGATCATAAATGAGGATGAAACCTGGTGAAAGGAGATGGGAATATAGCCTCCAGATGCCCAATTTAAACTGTCATTCAGTTCTGTAAAATCATTCTCACATCCTTTCCTCTCACAGGAAGTAGGCACCTTCAGCTGTGTGCATAGAAGCTTGCATGTGAGACCGTCCATGTTATTTTCCTGTTTATCAGGCAGAATGGTTGATCTGAGGAGACCAGTGGCAATGACATCCTAGATACGATAACATCAGGAAAACTGTCACCAATTGCTTTGCCTATTAACTCATTTTTTTCCTTCTCTCTAGAAGGAAAGAGGATTGAGGTAACAGCAATAAAACTAAAGGGAAAAGTTATATTGCTATTGGTTAAAAGGGTCTTGTTTCTTTACCTACTCATTCCTGAGTCTAAGGGGGAAAAAAAAGAAATCTGGACCTAAGAGAAATAATTCTTCCTACATGTCAAATTACTTTTGCTCTGTGTCTAAAACATGCAAAATTCAAAGTTGACTTTTATTATTAACTGCTGAGTGACTTACAAATGCTATTAGAGCAGTACAATGCATGGATATTCTCCCAAAGCAGGTAACCCAAAGTCATTTCCATTCAGCTTTACAAAACCAGTTCTCTCCTTAATTAAGTTTTCCACTGGCTAATATAATACTCAGTTTGCTTCTAAGCTGATCAACTACTGCAAAGAAACACATACCAAGGACATGGAGAAACCATCTTGGGGCAGAACTCTGAATAGTATGCAAGTCAAGTTTTAATGTATTATTCCTTCAAGGGCCTTGCTTCAGAGTCCTATGGGAAGGATGAAAGGGATTGGGGGATAAAGAGGAAAGGTAGGGATAACCAAAAGGAGACACCCAAGCAGTAAAGATTTTGGAGGGACGAGGTTACAATAAAATTGTACCTTTTCTCCTGTAAACTGACTTTGGTTATGAGCCAGATAATGAGTTTATATGGGGCAGAGCAAAAGATGTAGGAGCAGTGGATTTGTTGAACTTAAGTGGATTTTCAACTTCATAATATAAAAATGATGTTTTCAACAAATAGAGCTGCTCACTCAGAAAGGGTAGCCTATATGACTTGGGGTTCCCCATCACTGCCTATGTTTAAGCCTACATGTCACATCTAGTTGGAAATGTAGTAAGCAGTATTCATGTGCCCTTCATACTGCAAATGTTTATTGAAAGTTTACGAAGTCCATATGCTATAAGAAAGCGTTTGGCAGTAATGGGAAACTGTGGGGGTGGGGTGGGGGGAGTGTGGGATTGGCAGTTGAGGGAAACTGCTAGGGGAGGGAGGGGCATACCTCATTAACAAGGGTACCTGCGTAATCAATGTTTGTATACCTAACCCTAATTGTACCCCACATCTTTATAATTAAAAAAAATAAGTAATAAAAAAAGTTAGCCGGGCTCGGTGGCTCAGCCTGTAATCCCGCGCCTCTGGGAGGCGGAGGTGAGTGGATGGCCTGAGCCCGCGGGGTCGAG